GAAACTTCGAAGTCACCTAAACTGTTCACCTGTTCACTCCAGTCACTTGTACACCTGTACACCACAGTCACAACTGTACACCTGTACACCACAGTCACAACTGTACACCTGTACACCACAGTCACAACTGTACACCTGTACACCACAGTCACAACTGTACACCTGTACACCACAGTCACAACTGTACACCTGTACACCACAGTCACAACTGTACACCTGTACACCACAGTCACAACTGTACACCTGTACACCACAGTCACAACTGTACACATGTACACCTGTACACCACAGTCACAACTGTACACCTGTACACCTGTACACCACAGTCACAACTGTACACCTGTACACCACAGTCACAACTGTACACCTGTACACCACAGTCACAACTGTACACCTGTACACCACAGTCACAACTGTACACCTGTACACCACAGTCACAACTGTACACCTGTACACCACAGTCACAACTGTACATATGTACACCACAGTCACAACTGTACACATGTACACCTGTACACCACAGTCACAACTGTACACCTGTACACCTGTACACCACAGTCACAACTGTACACCTGTACACCACAGTCACAACTGTACACCACAGTCACAACTGTACACCTGTACACCACAGTCACAACTGTACATATGTACACCACAGTCACAACTGTACACCTGTACACCACAGTCACAACTGTACACCTGTACACCACAGTTACAACTGTACACCTGTACACCACAGTCACAACTGTACATATGTACACCACAGTCACAACTGTACACCTGTACACCACAGTCACAACTGTACACCTGTACACCACAGTCACAACTGTACACCTGTACACCACAGTCACAACTGTACACCTGTACACCACAGTCACAACTGTACACCTGTACACCACAGTCACAACTGTACACCTGTACACCACAGTCACAACTGTACACCTGTACACCACAGTCACAACTGTACACCTGTACACCACAGTCACAACTGTACACCTGTTCACTCCAGTCACAACTGCAATGATATTTATGACTCATTGACAAATAAAGCTTCTATTCCTAAATTATACAGTAGGTATACAATACAGTAATTATTATACAGTATACTGTATTCCCGATTGTTTCCCACGCTCTGATTATGACTCACTCTCGTATATAATGTATAAAATCTTCTGTAAACTGAGAAATGTACAACAGTTTGTGAATAAAGTTTTAGAATGTGAATGAACATAACTTTAAAATAACCAGCTGGTGGAGACACCCCCAGCTGGTGGAGAGACAACCCCAGCTGGTCGAGAGACAACCCCAGCTGGTCGAGAGACAACCCCAGCTGGTCGAGAGACAACCCAGCTGGTCGAGAGACACCCCCAGCTGGTCGAGACAACCCCAGCTGGTGGAGAGACAACCCCAGCTGGTCGAGAGACAACCCCAGCTGGTCGAGAGACAACCCCAGCTGGTCGAGAGACAACCCAGCTGGTCGAGAGACAACCCCAGCTGGTCGAGACAACCCCAGCTGGTGGAGAGACAACCCCAGCTGGTCGAGAGACAACCCCAGCTGGTCGAGAGACAACCCCAGCTGGTCGAGAGACAACCCCAGCTGGTGGAGAGACAACCCCAGCTGGTCGAGAGACAACCCCAGCTGGTCGAGAGACAACCCCAGCTGGTCGAGAGACAACCCAGCTGGTCGAGAGACAACCCCAGCTGGTCGAGACAACCCCAGCTGGTGGAGAGACAACCCCAGCTGGTGGAGAGACAACCCCAGCTGGTCGAGAGACAACCCCAGCTGGTCGAGAGACAACCCCAGCTGGTCGAGAGACAACCCCAGCTGGTGGAGAGACAACCCCAGCTGGTCGAGAGACAACCCCAGCTGGTCGAGAGACAACCCCAGCTGGTCGAGAGACAACCCAGCTGGTCGAGAGACAACCCCAGCTGGTCGAGACAACCCCAGCTGGTGGAGAGACAACCCCAGCTGGTCGAGAGACAACCCAGCTGGTGGATAGACAACCCCAGCTGGTCGAGACAACCCCAGCTGGTCGAGAACAACCCCAGCTGGTCAAGACAACCCCAGCTGGTCGAGAGACAACCCAGCTGGTCGAGAGACAACCCCAGCTGGTCGAGAGACAACCCCAGCTGGTCGAGAGACAACCCCAGCTGGTCGAGAGACAACCCAGCTGGTCGAGAGACAACCCCAGCTGGTCAAGAGACAACCCAGTTGGTCGAGAGACAACCCCAGCTGGTCGAGAGACAACCCAGCTGGTCGAGAGACAACCCCAGCTGGTCGAGAGACAACCCCAGCTGGTCGAGAGACAACCCCAGCTGGTCGAGAGACAACCCCAGCTGGTCGAGAGACAACCCAGCTGGTCGAGAGACAACCCCAGCTGGTCAAGAGACAACCCAGTTGGTCGAGAGACAACCCCAGCTGGTCGAGACAACCCCAGCTGGTCAAGAGACAACCCAGCTGGTCGAGAGACAACCCCAGCTGGTCGAGAGACAACCCCAGCTGGTCGAGAGACAACCCCAGCTGGTCGAGAGACAACCCCAGCTGGTCGAGAGACAACCCAGCTGGTCGAGAGACAACCCCAGCTGGTCAAGAGACAACCCAGTTGGTCGAGAGACAACCCCAGCTGGTCGAGAGACAACCCAGCTGGTCGAGAGACAACCACAGCTGGTCGAGAGACAACCCCAGCTGGTTGAGAGACAACCCCAGCTGGTCGAGAACAACCCCAGCTGGTCGAGAGACAACCCCAGCTGGTCGAGAGACAACCCCAGCTGGTGGATAGACAACTCCAGCTGGTCGAGACAACCCCAGCTGGTCGAGAACAACCCCAGCTGGTCGAGACAACCCCAGCTGGTCGAGAGACAACCCAGCTGGTCGAGAGACAACCCCAGCTGGTCGAAAGACAACCCCAGCTGGTCGAGACAACCCCAGCTGGTGGAGAACAACCCCAGCTGGTCGAGAGACAACCCCAGCTGGTCGAGAGACAACCCCAGCCGGTCGAGACAACCCCAGCTGGTCGAGACAACCCCAGCTGGTCGAGATGCAACCCCAGCTGGTGGAGAGACAACCCCAGCTGGTCGAGAACAACCCCAGCTGGTGGAGACAACCCCAGCTGGTGGAGAGACAACCCCAGCTGGTGGAGAGACAACCCCAGCTGGTCGAGAACAACCCCAGCTCGTCGAGAGACAACCCAGCTGGTCGAGACAACCCCAGCTGGTCGAGAGACAACCCCAGCTGGTGGAGAGACAACCCCAGCTGGTGGAGAGACAACCCCAGCTGGTCGAGAACAACCCCAGCTGGTCGAGAGACAACCCAGCTGGTCGAGACAACCCCAGCTGGTCGAGAGACAACCCCAGCTGGTCGAGAACAACCCCAGCTGGTCGAGAGACAACCCCAGCTGGTCGAGAACAACCCCAGCTGGTCGAGAGACAACCCCAGCTGGTCGAGACAACCCCAGCTGGTGGAGAGACAACCCCAGCTGGTCGAGAACAACCCCAGCTGGTGGAGAGACAACCCCAGGTGGTTCACACGTCTCCACTACACAATGGAGAGTGACCTGCCTGTCTCAAGAGGTCTGAGAGTGTTCAGACCATTGAATGGGTTGACTAGTAAACACATGCGGACTCCAGGCTCCGAATGGACAAACCTCTCAATGATTGGGACTCCATTCATGAGAGAGAGAGAGAGAGAGAGAGAGAGAGAGAGAGAGAGAGAGAGAGAGAGAGAGAGAGAGAGAGAGAGAGAGAGAGAGAGAGAGAGAGAAAGAGAAAGAGAGAGAGAGTTGACAAATACTGTCCCCTACTTCCTATCTCTTTCACCACCTATCTGTGGTGCTCAGTTCTGTGGTACAGCATTCTCATATCAGATCCGCGGTGTTCGGAACTGTCGAAAGTATCACGGCATGGTAACCATTCATTCACTTGGGCTATCGGTGCCTCGAACCACAGACCACCAAAATGGTAACCTGTAGGTCTAACCACTTGGGCTGTACGGTAGAGCGACGGTCTCGCTTCATGCAGGTCGGCGTTCAATTCCCCGACCGTCCACCAAGTGGTTGGGGCCACGTTGCCTAATATGCCCAGTTTTCCTGAAAATATATATTTTTCTGACAACAATTCTTATGGAACGAGAGAGCTCTCCATCATATTATATATAACTTATTTTTTGTTTAATTTGAGTTAGAACTAAAATACATTTTATCAAACCTAACCTAACCTATCTAACCTAACCTAACCTAGCCTAACCTACCTAACTTAGCCTAACCTAACCTAACCTACTTAACCTAGCCTAACCTACCTAACCTAGCCTAACCTTACCTACCTAACCTAGCCTAACCTAACCTAACCTACCTAACCTAGCCTAACCTGCCTAACCTACCTAACCTACTTAACCTAGCCTAACCTACCTAACCTACTTAACCTAGCCTAACCTACCTAACCTAACCTACCTAACCTAGCCTAACCTACCTAACCTACCTAACCTAGCCTAACCTACCTAACCTAACCAAACCTACCTAACCTAACCTACCTAACCTAACCTACCTAACCTAACCTACCTAACCTAACCTAACCAAACCTACCTAACCTAACCTACCTAACCTAACCTACCTAACCTAACCTAACCTAACCTACCTAACCTAACCTACCTAACCTAACCTAACCTACCTAACCTAACCTAACCTAACCTAACCTACCTAACCTACCTAACCTAACCTACCTAACCTAACTTATCTATCCTGACCTAACATAATTTAATAATTCATGTTCTTAAAATAATATAATAATAGCAATTCAAATAAACCAATTTTAAAACCAATATTTAAAATTAACGAAAATCATTCTGCCTGTTAGGCAAGTCGTGCCCCTTGCATACTAGGCCAATATGTATGTTGTCATTACCTTGTATTGTTTTTATAAATGAACTGTACTCACCTAGTTGCGCTTGCGGGGGGTTGAGCTCTGGCTCTTTGGGCCCGCCTCTCAACTGGCGGGCCACGGTGCGCATGCGCGAGATCATGGAAGCCATTCTTTACGCACAGGTGAGTACATGCGTTCATATGTATGCGGAGGCCGGTGACATTGGCGTATATTAACATTCATATTGGACGAGCACACGTGTGGCCCTCAGGCCTCAGATGACTAGTCTGTTATTGGATCGCGAACCAGCGCCAGGACTATGGAACCATTTGCGAAACCTGTACATCCTAAACCATGTCGGTTTAGTTTGCATTTATTAAACACTTTATGTCCACCGAAGCGTTACGGGGTTGTTTACAACAACAAGAACCTCGGGTTGTGAATTTCGAAACTTGTATCCGGCTAAATACATACAGACTAAGCCGCTATGATCGGAGAAAGATGTACAGGCTTCGTAAGTGAGCCCGTAAAGCCTTGATGAATCCTGATTGTGGCCGCTGGAGCATCAGGGATGAATGAGCATATAAAGTGGGCTTCACCCACAATGGGACACCCCCACAATGGGACACCCTAACAATGGGACACCCCCACAATGGGACACCCTCACAATGGGACACCCCCACAATGGGACACACCCACAATGGGACACCCCCACAATGGTACACCCTCACAATGGGACACCCCCACAATGGGACACCCCCACAATGGTACACCCTCACAATGGGACACCCTCACAATGGGACACCCTCACATTGGGACACCCCCACAATGGGACACCCTCACAATGGTACACCCTCACAATGGGACACACCTTCACAATGGGACACCCCCACAATGGGACACCCTCACAATGGGACACCCTCACAATGGGACACCCCCACAATGGTACACCCTCACAATGGGACACCCTCACAATGGGACACCCTCACAATGAGACACACCTTCACAATGGGACACCCTCACAATAGGACACCCTCACAACGGGACACCCTCACAACGGGACACCCCTCACAATGGGACACCCTCATAATGGGACACCCCCACAACGGGACACCCTCACAATGGGACACCCCTCACAATGGGACACCCTCATAATGGGACACCCTCACAACGGGACACCCTCACAATGGGACACCCCTCACAATGGGACACCCCCACAATGGGACACCCTCACAATGGGACACCCTCATAATGGGACACCCCCACAAATGTACATCCCCCAAATTGGGACACCCCCCAAAATGGGACACTCACAATGGGACACCCCCACAATGGGACACCCTCACACTGGGACACCCTCACAATGGGACACCCTCACAATGGGACACACTCACAATGGGACACCCCTCACAATGGGACACCCTCACAATGGGACACCCCCACAATGGGACACCCCCACAATGGGACACCCCCACAATGGGACACACTCACAATGGGACACCCCCACAATGGGACACCCTCACAATGGGACACCCCCACAATGGGACACCCTAACAATGGGACACCCCCACAATGGGACACCCTCACAATGGGACACCCCCACAATGGGACACCCTCACAATGGGACACCCCCACAATGGGAAACCCTCACAATGGGACACCCCCACAATGGGACACCCTCACAATGGGACAGCCTCATAATGGGACACCCTCACATTGGGACACCTCCACATTGGGACACCTCCACAATGGGACACCTCCACAATGGGACACCCTCACAATGGGACACACAATGGGACACCCCTCACAATGGGACACCCTCACAATGGGACACCCCCACAATGGGACACCCCCACAATGGGACACCCCCACAATGGGACACCCTCACAATGGGACACCCTCACAATGGGACACCCCCACAATGGGACACCCCCACAATGGGACACCCTCACAATGGGACACCCCCACATTGGGACACCCCCACAATGGAACACGCCCACAATGGGACACCCCCACAATGGGACACCCTCACAACGGGACACCCTCACAACGGGACACCCTCACAACGGGACACCCTCACAATGGGACACACCCACAATGGGACACCCCCACATTGGGACACCCTCACAATGGGACACACCCACACAATGGGACACCCCCACAATGGGACACCCCCACAATGGGACTAGTAACAGGAAGAGCAACGGCAGCGTTAGTAGCCACGTCAGGCCTCACGACCCGTTGCATAAACAGAAGCTCAAGCAACGGCAACACAGCCGGGCAACATCTGGCCAGCGACCATCCGGCCCAGGAGTGCCCTGAGGCGGCATACCTTAACTATTGGACCATCCTAGTATGACTGTTATTGCCTGCTCTCACACTATTTTTGCCTGAGTCACGCTGCTGCTGCTGCCTCACACTACAGCTGCTTGAGTCACACTACTGCTGCTGCCTGCCTCACACTAAAGCTCCCTGAGTCACACTACTGCTGCTGCCTGTCTCACACTACAGCTGCCTGAGTCACACTACTGCTGCTGCCTGTCTCACACTACAGCTGCTTGAGTCACACTACTGCTGCTGCCTGCCTCACACTACAGCTGCTTGAGTCACACTACTGCTGCTGCCTGCCTCACACTACAGCTGCTTGAGTCACACTACTGCTGCTGCCTGTCTCACACTACAGCTGCCTGAGTCACACTACTGCTGCTGCCTGTCTCACACTACAGCTGCTTGAGTCACACTACTGCTGCTGCCTGCCTCACACTACAGCTGCCTGAGTCACACTACTGCTGCTGCCTGCCTCACACTACAGCTGCTTGAGTCACACTACTGCTGCTGCCTGCCTCACACTACAGCTGCCTGAGTCACACTACTGCTGCTGCCTGCCTCACACTACAGCTGCCTGAGTCACACTACTGCTGCTGCCTGTCTCACACTACAGCTGCTTGAGTCACACTACTGCTGCTGCCTGCCTCACACTACAGCTGCCTGAGTCACACTTCTGCTGCTGCTTGAGTCACACTACTGCTGCTGCCTGCCTCACACTACAGCTGCCTGAGTCACACTACTGCTGCTGCCTGCCTCACACTACAGCTGCTTGAGTCACACTACTGCTGCTGCCTGCCTCACACTACAGCTGCCTGAGTCACACTACTGCTGCTGCTTGCCTCACACTACAGCTGCCTGAGTCACACTACAGCTGCTGCCTGCCTCACACTACAGCTGCCTGAGTCACATTACTGCTGCTGCCTCACACTACAGCTGCTTGAGTCACACTACTGCTGCTGCCTGCCTCACACTACAGCTGCTTGAGTCACACTACAGCTGCCTGAGTCACACTACAGCTGCTTGAGTCACACTACAGCTGCCTGACTCACACTACAGCTGCTTGAGTCACACTACAGCTGCCTGAGTCACACTACAGCTGCCTGAGTCACACTACAGCTGCCTGAGTCACATTACTGCTGCTGCCTCACACTACAGCTGCTTGAGTCACACTACTGCTGCTGCCTGCCTCACACTACAGCTGCTTGAGTCACACTACAGCTGCTTGAGTCACACTACAGCTGCCTGCCTCACACTACAGCTGCTTGAGTCACACTACTGCTGCTGCCTGCCTCACACTACAGCTGCTTGAGTCACACTACAGCTGCTTGAGTCACACTACAGCTGCCTGCCTCACACTACAGCTGCTTGAGTCACACTACAGCTGCCTGAGTCACACTACTGCTGCTGCCTGCATCATTGGTATGGCATGTATCCACTTTATCTTGGGACACCCTCCCAACCTGCTAACTTGGAACCAGCTAACTTTACTGTGTTCTTTAATAACTTTACTGTGTTCTTTAATAACTTTACTGTGTTTCTTTAATAACTTTACTGTGTTCTTTAATAACTTTACTGTGTTCTTTAATAACTTTACTGTGTTCTTTAATAACTTTACTGTGTTTCTTTAATAACTTTACTGTGTTCTTTAATAACTTTACTGTGTTCTTTAATAACTTTACTGTGTTTCTTTAATAACTTTACTGTGTTCTTTAATAACTTTACTGTGTTCTTTAATAACTTTACTGTGTTTCTTTAATAACTTTACTGTGTTTCTTTAATAACTTTACTGTGTTCTTTAATAACTTTACTGTGTTCTTTAATAACTTTACTGTGTTCTTTAATAACTTTACTGTGTTCTTTAATAACTTTACTGTGTTCTTTAATAACTTTACTGTGTTTCTTTAATAACTTTACTGTGTTTGTTTAATAACTTTACTGTGTTCTTTAATAACTTTACTGTGTTCTTTAATAACTTTACTGTGTTTTTTAATAACTTTACTGTGTTCTTTAATAACTTTACTGTGTTCTTTAATAACTTTACTGTGTTATTTAATAACTTTACTTTGTTCTTTAATAACTTTACTTTGTTCTTTAATAACTTTACTGTGTTCTTTAATAACTTTACTGTGTTATTTAATAACTTTACTGTGTTCTTTAATAACTTTACTGTGTTCTTTAATAACTTTACTGTGTTATTTAATAACTTTACTTTGTTCTTTAATAACTTTACTGTGTTCTTTAATAATTTTACTGTGTTCTTTAATAACTTTACTGTGTTTTTTAATAACTTTACTGTGTTCTTTAATAACTTTACTGTGTTCTTTAATAACTTTACTGTGTTCTTTAATAACTTTACTGTGTTATTTAATAACTTTACTGTGTTCTTTAATAACTTTACTGTGTTCTTTAATAACTTTACTGTGTTCTTTAAAAGGTCTTACGACATAATTACTCCTAGATCTTTTACATGTTCTTTTGTTCTACAGTGTGAACTCACACTCTATAGAACTCACGTTTATACGTGGTTTCCGTTTCTAATATTTTCGTTTTTTCATTTTTCTTATGGCCGAGTGAAAGACAGGATTGATATCAATTTGGAGGTTTGCTGTGTTCTCTATATTCTCCACTCTCATGAAAATCCTCGTGTCATCTGCAGAGGATGATTCGGATTGATGAAGTGTTTCAAGCGTAGGTTAGACATATATATGAATGTGTTTGGGTACAGGTGACGGATCTCCCAATCCTGAGCACTCCAGTTGCAAACTCTGTGAGCAGGAACTGCGGCATGATCTCCCGCACTACATCACTGAATGCCCAGTTATTAGACCATTCAGACTCGTTGTCATGAGGTACCTGGAGCTTTGCAATTACTTTATTCACTCTCGTGTTCTTGAAGATATCCTCACAGTGTACCCAAAATTTGCCAGTGCAGGCTACTGAACATATGGCCCTGTATGACTAACCATCCTGTGTGATGGGGATTTTTAGCATCACGTAGCTAGCTTTTTGACACACTGTACTCCCCTTCATATAGACTAGGGTAGCTGCACTAATGCAGGTGTACCTAATATATTAATAAAAAAATGGGTGGAAATAAATAGGAGCTGCCTCGTATGGGCCAATAGGAGCTGCTTCCTACGGAGTATACATGGAGATGGACCAATAGGAGCTGCCTCGTGTGGGCCAATAGGAGCTGCTTCCTACGGAGTATACATGGAGATGGACCAATAGGAGCTGCCTCGTGTGGGCCAATAGGAGCTGCTTCCTACGGAGTATACCTGGAGATGGACCAATAGGAGCTGCCTACTATGGCCCAAGAAGTTTCCTACATCCTTAATATATCAGGATATTTACCAAGCACCGTAATATAAGCAAGAACACACAATAGCCCAAGAACGTGATCCTCGAATGATAAAATATTGAAGACAAACGATGGGATCGAACCCACGTCCCGGGACCCTCCAGACACACGCACCAAGTATACTGATTACCTCAAAAGTATTTGATCCAGAAGCATGAACTCAGAGTTTGAAAGAGCACGATCTGGTACCACAAAACACTCTACCGTTAACTCAATCTCTTAAGAGCGGCATATCTGGCCCGGGGGGACAGACAGACGCTACTGAAGGGACGATACCCATCTCCTAATGTTAGTATGTCGGCAAAATGAAGATTTCCTAAAGCATGTCGATAAGGCTCACGTCACTTCAGCCGACAATGGTGACCACCAACCATCTGAACCCCCTTCAGGGATCGGAGGACGACAACGTGATATACCTACGAGTAAGCTGGGGGCAGGAAAAGTACTCCACTCCTAGAAATTAGAACTAAAATCGTTGTCAAACTCTCCTCTGACTAGACCTTAAGGTTTCAGGACACTAGATCAAGAGTGCCTGGCCAAGATGGTATACTCTGCGAGACGTGTGTCGTGTTTAAGGTTAGATACACTGTGTGCTGGGTGCACCTCCTCCCCAGGTGATGACCAGGTGACAGGTGTAGCGCCCACATAATGCCAAGCCACACAGGTGGACATGCCAATAGTTGAAGAAACACAGGTGGGGCATGGCCTAAGGAATTTCTTAGGGCTCCCGGGCATTATATTTAGGTCGGAGTAGGCGCCCAAAAGCTTGACCATGGCCCAAACGGCACGATCTCCAAACCCACCCTGACGGCTCCAGGCGCTCCACATTTCCCTAGAGGCTATAGACAGCACCAGGCTCAGTGATACGCACCAGGGAGTGAGTAGAGAGAGGAGGAGGAGAGAGGAGGAGGAGAGAGGAGGAGGAGAGAGGAGGAGGAGAGAGGAGGAGGAGAGAGGAGGAGGAGAGAGGAGGAGGAGAGAGGAGGAGGAGGAGGAGGAGGCGAGAGAAGCAGGAGAGAGCAGGAGAAGCAGAAAGAGGGAGAGGAATGGCGAGGGGGGGGGGGGGTACAACCTGGTTGTAAACATAATAACGGGTCGTGTTCCAGGGAAAGCTAGCAGTGTACGGTATACCATGATCTATGGGAAGGTCTCAGCCTGCTACCAGCAGCCACAAGTCTTGTACTCACTCGTTTAAACAACAAATTGTAACAGAAAATATCGAAAAAAGAAAGTTAATCAGCGGGAAAAGAGTCAGAGAACGACTTTCTTTATTAAAAAAATCCAGAGGGTACCCAGTTTGACGTGGGTATAGGAGTGGGTACAGTAATGGGTCAGGGCTGAAGTGGGTACAGTAATGGGTCAGGGCTGAAGTGGGTACAGTAATGGGTCAAGGCTGAAGTGGGTACAGTAATGGGTCAGGGCTGAAGTGGGTACAGTAATGGGTCAAGGCTGAAGTGGGTACAGTAATGGGTCAAGGCTGAAGTGGGTACAGTAATGGGTCAGGGCTGAAGTGGGTACAGTAATGGGTCAAGGCTGAAGTGGGTACAGTAATGGGTCAAGGCTGAAATGGGTACAGTAATGGGTCAAGGCTGAAGTGGGTACAGTAATGGGTCAAGGCTGAAGTGGGTACAGTAATGTGTCAAGGCTGAAGTGGGTACAGGAAGAATCACATTTAGGCCTCTCATTTTCGACGGATGTGGAAGCAAACCCTATTCATAATTTTAAAACTAGGTATGATAGGGAAATAGGACAGGAGTCATTGCTGTAAACAACCGATGGCTGGAACGGCGGAATCCAAGAGTCAATGTTCGATCCTGCAGACACAAATAGGTGAGTACAAATAGGTACCTGGTTGATGGGGTTCTGGGAGTTCTTCTACTCCCCAAGCCCGGCCCGAGGCCAGGCTTGACTTGTGAGAGTTTGGTCCACCAGGCTGTTGCTTGGAGCGGCCCGCAGGCCCACATACCCACCACAGCCCGGTTGGTCCGGCAGGTGAGTACACACACAGGAAGACGCCTCGGATTCTATTGTGACTGAGAATGACGTCACTGATTCTGGCGTGAATGGGAATGACGTCACTGATTCTGGCGTGAATGGGAATGACGTCACTGATTCTGGCGTGAATGGGAATGACGTCACTGATTCTGGTGTGAATGGGAATGACGTCACTGATTCTGCCGTGAATGGGAATGACGTCACAGATTCTGGCGTGAATGGGAATGACGTCACTGATTCTGGTGTGAATGGGAATGACGTAAAAAATTCTGACGTGAATGTGAATGACGTCACAGATTCTGGTGTGAATGGGAATGACGTCACTGATTCTGGCGTGAATGGGAATGACGTCACAAATTCTGACGTGAATGTGAATGACGTCACAGATTCTGGCGAGTATGGGAATGACGTCACAGATTCTGGTGTGAATGGGAATGACGTCACAGATTCTGGTGTGAATGGGAATGACGTCACTGATTCTGGTGTAAATGGGAATGACGTCACGGCTTCTGGTGTAAATTACCTCTTTAATGAGCGACGTTGGAAGGTGTCACAGCTCCTCCTCGTAATTATTATTAGAGATTAAGTCTAAACTTCTGAGGCAAAAAGTGACCAAATGGCCGCGCTAATTACTTCCGGCCTCCATCATGAAGGCAGTATACTGGTCCTTAACAAGCATCCGGGTCATTAAGGCAGTATACTGGTCCTTAACAAGCATCCGGGTCATTAAGGCAGTATACTGGTCCTTAACAAGCATCCGGGTCATTAAGGCAGTATACTGGTCCTTAACAAGCATCCGGGTCATTAAGGCAGTATACTGGTCCTTAACAAGCATCCGGGTCATTAAGGCAGTATACTGGTCCTTAACAAGCATCCGGGTCATTAAGGCAGTATACTGGTCCTAAACAAGCATCCGAGTCATTAAGGCAGTATACTGGTCCTTAACAAGCATCCGGGTCATTTACATTTAAAGAACTCAACACAATGGCCGTCGACATCAGAGTACTGGCAAAAGTTAGAACATCATTCAGAAACCTAAGTAAAGTTGACCAGTCCAGCAACCAGGAGGCCTGGTCGAGGACCGGGCCGCGGGGTCGCTAAGCCCCGAAAACACCTCAAGGTAAGGTAAGGAGACTTAGTGAAGGATTCACTCGTCTCTCGTAACTCTGGGACGAGCCTCGTCGCAAACTTCTGAACCTTTTCCAGTTGTAGGAGGAAATGTATATGTTTATCTCTCAGAATGTTTGGTAAAATGTTTATTGCTTGAGATGTGTGTATATGTATGTATTAACACGATGTACTGAACGGGGTGAGAATAGCTTGAGCTACCTCATCCCTTTGTGTGTATTTTACCTCAATAAACTTATTTCAATTTCAATTTTCCAGTCACATAGGCAAGAACACTGACAGATGGATGAACAAGAACCTTTCACACCAGAGATGCTGTCCCCATGATTCTTTTCAAGACACTAGTGCTCTCTAGGGTGGAATATTGGTATGAAGAAAGGGTAACAGCCCCATTCGAAGTTGAAGAAACTACTGACCTGGAGAGCGTGCAAAGATCTGCTAGAACCCTCTCGATAAAACATTCCAGTTCTTCGAACCGATTAAAAATGTCAAACCGGTATTCCCTACCATGGAGTTGTTCCGGGGCTTAGCGTCCCCGCGGCCCGGTCGTCGACCAGGCCTCCTGGTTGCTGGACTGGTCATCCAGGCTGTTTGACGCGGCTGCTCGCAGCCTGACGAATGAATCACAGCCTGGTTGATCAGGTATCCTTTGGAGGTGTTTGTCAAGTTCTCTCTTGAACACTGTGAGGGGTCGGCCAGTTATGTGTAGTGGAAGCATGTTGAACAGTCTCGGGCCTCTGATGTTGATAGAGTTCTATCAACAAACTCTATCAGTTCTATCAACGCTAGAGCGCAAGAGGAAGAGATACATAATAATTTACACTTGGGAAAATATTTGAGGGCCAGGAGGAGGAGGAGGAGGAGGGAGGGGGAAGAGAACGGAGGAGAACAGAAGGAGGAAGATAAGGAGAAGGGAGGGAGCATGACGAAAATGGCCCCGAGTGCCAAATAGGGCGAGGCGGCATCAATCACTATGACAAGATAATTACGCTCGGTTGAGACGTAATCCAAATCGCCATGAAGGGAAGACGCCGGCCTGGTGACTGACAGACATGCCAGCGGCGGCCTGACTTATCCTGGTGAAGTGTCGTGACCTCACCTGCATGTCTTGACCCCTACCCTACCTGGGGCTTACCTGTGGCTCGTGACTTCACTCGAGTCCTTCCCCCCTCCCATCCCCTTCTCTTACTCCGCCTGATGCCCCTTATACCAGGCTGTAGTATCTTCTTCACCTCCAAAACCCCTCACTCTCATTCACCTCCAAAACCCCTCCCCCCCTTCAAAACCCCTCCCCCCTCCAAAACCCCTCCCCCCTCCTTCACCTCCAAAACCCCTCCCCCCTCCTACACCCCTCCCCCCTCCTTCACCCCTCTTCCCTCCTTCACCTCCAAAACCCCTCCCCCCCCTCCTTCACCTCCAAAACCCCTCCCCCCTCCTTCACCTCCAAAACCCCTCCCTCTCATTCACCTCAAAAACCCCTCCCCCCCTCCTTCTCCTCCAAAACCCCTCCCCCTCCTTCACCTCCAAAACCCCTCCCCCCCCTCCTTCACCTCCAAAACCCCCTCCCCCCTCCTTCACCTCCAAAACCCCTCTCCCCTCCTTCACCTCCAAAACCCCTCCCCCCTCCTTCACCTCCAAACCCCTACCCTCTCCTTCACCTCCAAACCCCTCTCCCCTCCTTCGCCTCCAAAACCCCTCCCCCCCCCTCCAAAACCCCTCCCCCCCCTCCAAAACCCCTCCCCCCCCTCCAAAACCCCTCCCCCCTCCTTCACCTCCAAAACCCCTCCCCCCTCCTACACCGCCAAAACCCCTCCCCCCTCCTTCACCTCCAAAACCCCTCCCCCCTCCTACACTGCAAAAACCCCTCCCCCCTCCTTCACCTCCAAAACCCCTCCCTCTCCTTCACCTCCAAAACCCCTCCCCCCCTCCTTCACCTCCAAAACCCCTCCCCCCTCCTTCACCTCCAAAACCCCTCCCCCCTCCTACACCGCCAAAACCCCTCCCCCCTCCTTCACCTCCAAAACCCCTCCCCCCTCCTTCACCTCCAAAACCCCTCCCCCCTCCTACACCGCCAAAACCCCTCCCCCCTCCTACACCGCCAAAACCCCTACCCCGTCCTTCACCTCCAAAACCCCTCCCCCCTCCTTCACCTCCAAAACCCCTCCCCCCTCCTACACCGCCAAAACCCCTCCCCCCTCCTACACCGCCAAAACCCCTACCCCCTCCTTCACCTCCAAACCCCCTCCCCCCTCCTTCACCTCCAAAACCCCTCCCCCCCCCCCCCCCTCCAAAACCCCTACCCCCCTCCACCTCCAAACCCCTCCCCCCTTCTTCACCTCTAAAACCCCTCTCCCCTCCTTCACCTCCAAAACCCATCCCCCCTCCTTCACCTCCAAAACCCCTCCCCCCTCCTTCACCTCCAAAACCCCTCCCCCTCCTACACCGCCAAAACCCCTACCCCCTCCTTCACCTCCAAAACCCCTCCCCACTCCTTCACCTCCAAAACCTCTCCCCCCTCCTACACCGCCAAAACCCCTCCCCCCCTCCTTCACCTCCAAAACCCCTCCCCCCTCCAAAAGCCCTCTCCCCTCCTTCACCTCCAAAACCCCCCCCCTCCTTCACCTCCAAAACCCCTCCCCCTCCTTCACCTGCAAAACCCCTACCCTCTCCTTCACCTCCAAACCCCTCTCCCCTCCACCTCCAAAACCCCTCCCCCCTCCTTCACCTCCAAAACCCCTCCCCCCCTCCTTCACCTCCAAAACCCCTCCCCCCTCCTACACCGCCAAAACCCCTACCCCCTCCTTCACCTCCAAAACCCCTCCCCCCTCCTACACCGCCAAAACCCCTCCCCCCTCCTTCACCTCCAAAACCCCTCTCCCCTCCTTCACCTCCAAAACCCCTCCCCCCTCCTTCACCTCCAAAACCCCTCCCCCCTCCTACACCGCCAAAACCCCTCCCCCCTCCTTCACCTCCAAAACCCCTCCCCCCTCCTTCACCTCCAAAACCCCTCCCCCCCCCTCCTACACCGCCAAAACCCCTCCCCCCTCCTTCACCTCCAAAACCCCTCCCCCTCCTACACCGCCAAAACCCCTACCCCCTCCTTCACCTCCAAAACCCCTCCCCCCTCCTACACCGCCAAAACCCCTCCCCCCTCCTTCACCTCCAAAACCCCTCCCCCCTCCTACACTGCAAAAACCCCTCCCCCCTCCTTCACCTCCAAAACCCCTCCCTCTCCTTCACCTCCAAAACCCCTCCCCCCCTCCTTCACCTCCAAAACCCCTCCCCCCTCCTTCACCTCCAAAACCCCTCCCCCCTCCTACACCGCCAAAACCCCTCCCCCCTCCTTCACCTCCAAAACCCCTCCCCCTCCTACACCGCCAAAACCCCTACCCCCTCCTTCACCTCCAAAACCCCTCCCCACTCCTTCACTTCCAAAACCTCTCCCCCCTCCTACACCGCCAAAACCCCTCCCCCCCTCCTTCACCTCCAAAACCCCTCCCCCCTCCAAAAGCCCTCTCCCCTCCTTCACCTCCAAAACCCCCCCCCCTCCTTCACCTCCAAAACCCCTCCCCCTCCTTCACCTGCAAAACCCCTACCCTCTCCTTCACCTCCAAACCCCTCTCCCCTCCACCTCCAAAACCCCTCCCCCCTCCTTCACCTCCAAAACCCCTCCCCCCCTCCTTCACCTCCAAAACCCCTCCCCCCTCCTACACCGCCAAAACCCCTACCCCCTCCTTCACCTCCAAAACCCCTCCCCCCTCCTACACCGCCAAAACCCCTCCCCCCTCCTTCACCTCCAAAACCCCTCTCCCCTCCTTCACCTCCAAAACCCCTCCCCCCTCCTTCACCTCCAAAACCCCTCCCCCCTCCTACACCGCCAAAACCCCTCCCCCCTCCTTCACCTCCAAAACCCCTCCCCCCTCCTTCACCTCCAAAACCCCTCCCCCCCCCCTCCTACACCGCCAAAACCCCTCCCCCCTCCTTCACCTCCAAAACCCCTACCCTCTCCTTCACCTCCAAAATGTATTTAAAAATATAACTAAGCAAAAACTGTTAATATCACAATCTAATGACTGGGGAAGATAGGTATTTGGAGAAAGGAACAGAGGAAGAGGGAGTTGGCCCATACCAGGCAGCTCCTATTGGTTCATACGAGGCAGCTCCTATTGACCCATACGAGGCAGCTCCTATTGACCCATACGAGGCAGCTCCTATTGGCCCATACGAGGCAGCTCCTATTGGTTCATACGAGGCAGCTCCTATTGGTCCATACGAGGCAGCTCCTATTGGTCCATACGAGGCAGCTCCTATTGGTCCATACGAGGCAGCTCCTATTGACCCATACGAGGCAGCTCCTATTGGCCCATACGAGGCAGCTCCTATTGACCCATACGAGGCAGCTCCTATTGAC